CTCATTCTTGGAGTCCTTGGACTCAGACACCCCCAACTGACCCTGAACTGGGGTCGTGGTTCCTCCACAGCTTCCCCAGGTGAGTCCAGCGTCCCCCATTTGTAGGCCAGCTCTGCGCCCCTCCGTTTCCACTCCTCCAAGAACAGGGTTGACCAGACCACGTTGAAGAGGGCAAAAACCACACACGATACATCCCGGCTTGTCTGGGGATGGCGGAAGGCTGAGCTGTTAGCCAGGTTGGCCCAGGGAGGAGGGTGTCTCAGGCACTCCAGCCCCAGCCCAGCCCACTCCCAGCACCTGATCAGCCTCCGTAAATGTGTACAGGACAGAGCCAAAGACAGCTGGGTATACCATCGCTGATGTGTAGAAGCCCAGCCAGGCAAAGTACATGGCAATCTTCACTCCAAAGTAGTCACAGATCTCATCTGCCAGGAGCACAGGGGGGTCCTGGTCAGCCCTGCCCGCTTCCTGAGACTCCCGCACACCCCCCACCTGGGGCCACACCTAGAGGCTGGTTTTCACACACAGCTTGCACCCATGACTTCATGAGGCGGTTCAGGATGCGCTGCTCGTGGACAGGGAACACCTGCTGGATGATCCCGCGGGCCGCCAGCTCAGGGACTGTTGGGGGACAAGAGAGGGTGAGCCCCACCCTTCTGCCTGTGCCTGGCCTGGACAGTCCCCCCCACCCCCCCGCCCGAAACCCAAGTCGCAGTTTTTCCCTGCTTTTAATTATTCAGAGGCTCTTCCCAGGGGAGGAGCTCTGAGTGGGCAGAATATCTGGTTCTCCTTCAGAATCTGGGAGGTGCAGAGGCAGGCAGGAGGGGGCACAGGAATCCCACCGGGGATGGTGGGGTCCCAGTGTGGAACCCTGTTTTTAAATAAAGCCATTTGGCCTCAGATCACTGCTCCGAAGGTCTGAGGAATGGTGCAAAGCCGCCGTCAGAAGGTGAACTTGGAGCAGCTGGTCTCTTGGAGAGGAAACTGAGGCCCAGGGCCTCACCACACAGTGCGTGGAGTGCTGTCCTTGGTCCTGCCCCTACCTTATCCCAGACCCAAAAAACCATTTCTCTCGGACATGCCTCCCGGGGAGTAAGCCCCACCCCTATGCTAACGCCACACACCCCCACCATTGATTGATGTCTCTAGGCCCCACCCAACTCTTCACTAGCTTTTTTGGTCGGTTGCCTCTAGGCCCCACCCTCTCGCATTGATAGGTTGTATTCTAAGAGCCCCACCCAACTCCCCACTTGTGATTGGAGATCGGTCCCGCCTGCTTACTGATTGGCTGGTCCTCCAGGAAGCGCACATTGTGCAGCGCCTCGCCCTGCTTGGCCCGTAGGTTCTGCAGCCAAAAGCGGATGATGCTCTGGCGTTCCTGCAGGGGACAGGGCAGGGCCTGAGCACAGGAAACAGCGGCCCAAGCGCTAGGGCTGCGCACTGGGAGCCAGAGCTGGCCGCACCTGGGAGGTGAAGAAGCGCAGCTCACTCTCCACATTCTCGTAGATGAAGTCCTCCTCGCAAGAGAAGCCGCGGGTGCCCCCGCCAAACTCGGCCTTCACCGCTTTGCGCAAACCCAGCTCGTCGGCTCCTCGAAGTAGGCTGCCAAGAGGACACGGAGGTGGGGTCATGGGGAGACCCTGGCTCACCGTCCTGGAGCTAGGGTTGGTGTACCTGGCGGCCACCTGGGACAAACGCAAGGCGCTAAACCTCACAGTTGGCGCTTGGAAGGGTGGGGAGCTGGGCAGCAGGGTCAGCGAGAGGCCAGGGACAGAGACTCGCCTCTCATACGTGGCGGTGACGAAGAAGGCATAGGCACGCGTGTGGCGGTGGTGGCGGACTTGCACGATGAGCTCAGGGATGCCCACGCGGATGTGGTTCAGCAGCCATAGCAGCGTGTGGTCATCAGTCGAGTCTGCCAAGGGGCACAGGGACTGATGGCTCTTGCCACAAGGGGTCCCAGGCCTCTTACAGACTTCTACTCAGGGGAGCCCAGCTCAGGGAAGCCCATTTGGGCACCGGGCAGGCGGCGGGCACAGGTACCTGGAAAGGTCATCAGCACGTCGCAGTTCTCCGTGGGCACTGTCTTCATCCACGCCTTGTGAGACACCAGGTAGCGACCAGCCTGCAGAAGCCGCTTTCCAAAAAGCTTATCTAGGGAGCAGGCAGGGCAGGGCCCAGGTCAGGCCACTCCCAGACGAGGACCCCAGCCTCCAGTTTAGTCCCTTGAGCCCTAGCCCCTGCTTGCACACTGGCCACGGCTCTTCCGCACTCAGTCTGGCATCCAGGGACCTGCAAGCTTTGGCCTCGGCTCGTTTCCTTCCCTCCTCGTCCTTGCACCAGCCAGGCCCTCCTCCAGGAATGCCCTTCCTCCAGGTCCTCCCTTACAAATCTTACTCATTCTTGAGGCCCAGCTCCGCCTCCAAAACCACAGTCGATGGGGCGCTCACTAGCAGCCCTGAGCGCTTCACCACATCATGTCAGCGCGTCCTCATAGCTGGGCGCGGTTCTTACTCCCATTTCACAGGTGAGGAAACTGAGGACCAGGGCGTTTAAGTCACGCACGCAAGGTCACACAGGCGAGCTGGGATTCGAACCCAGGACCGTGATTCCGTATCCTCTGCGAGGAGGCTCTCTCAAGCGCATCCCTGCCGGGCTGCGATCCGGTAACCCAAAGGCGTGACTGAGCTCAGCCCTGGGTCGGGGCTCTCGGAGGGGCGTGTCCGAGTCTCTGCGCTGGGACCCCCGCCCCCTGTACCGTCCCAGCCGCGCTGGCCCCGCCGCAGCCGCAGTGCCGGGAGAAGCCGGCCCCTTGACTGGACTCCAGGCCCGGGACGGCTGACCCCAATCCCACTCCCCGTCCAGCCGCCGCGCGCACCACAGGCACCTGCAACCCTGTCAGATCCAGCCGCCGCACACATACCCAGAACTCCAGACGCCGGGGCTGCAGGCTCGCCGTCAGGCGGGGGCCTCTTGCCACGCTCGCCCTCCAGGGACGTGCCCCCGGCACTGGAGGTGGCTTCGGCCATGGCGAGGGCAGGGCAGGTCAGGGGCTGCGGGCGGCCCGAGCGCCGGGGGGCCCCGGGCTCATCCGGCCGGTGCAGCCGCGGAGCGCGCTGGAGGTGGAGACAAAGGCCGCGCCCGCCCGCGCCGGCCGCCGTCCCCGCGTGCCCGAGCGCTGCTTCTCGTCTCCGCCCGCGCGGAACCTCGATTCTCCTCGTCCCCGCGCACGTCGCTCTTGGGTTCTCGACTCCGCCCGTGTTGTTTTCTGGATTTCGTTCTCGCCCGCCCACTCCGCTTTCTGGTGCTTGTCTCCGCCCGCACCGAAGATGCATTCACCGAGGATGTGTCTCCGCCCGCGTCGAATTCTGGGTCTCGTCACCGCCCGTCCCGGCCCTGGATTCTCCGCCACCGAGCCTTAGTTTCCCCATCTGCAAGGGCGCGGTTTGGAATCTTGAGTTGGGCGTGATTTGACCGCGGCGGGACGTGGGAGGGGGAGGGCCTGGGCGGGGGAGATTCCAGGTATCAATAACTTCACATCTAGAATACGAATTAATAGTTACAGCAAGTCCTGCCCCAGGGCCTTAGCATGTGCCAGTCAACTACTCAAGGCACTCCTCACGCCCTTCCCGTCCAGTTAACCCCTGCGCCCCTCAGGAGGTAACCTCCTCAGAGAGGACCCGATAGAGCTGCCAAGTTTAGCAAATAAAAGTACAGTCCTCCCACTGTATGAAAGAATTTCAGACAAACGAATACATTTTTAGTATGTCCCAAATATTACATGGGACATAGTTATACCAAAACCTTATTTATTGTTTATCTGAAATTCACATTTAACTGGGCGTTCTGTATTTTATCTGTACCCAGAACTCTGATCGTCCTGAGTAGCCTTTTCTGTTAGACTGAGAGCCCAGAGAGGGCAGGAGCCCCTTCCGGTTCTTAGCGCACACAGTAGGCACTTGATGTATACTTGTGACAGATGGGACAAATCGGAGAAAGCGAGCGTCCGCGTTTGTCACTCTTTGACAAATGAAAAAGTTAAGCGGGTCGAGGCAGGAATTAGAACTCTAGCGGGTCCGACAGAGTCTTCCCAAGTGCAAGAGCGTCGCCCGCCCGCTCCGTCCAAGAACCAGAGAATTGTCCGTGCGAAAGAGCCCGCGGAGACCCCGCCCAGCCAGTGCCTGGAATTCCACCATCAGCGCTTTTATTCCGCTATTCTGCGCTGTCCTGGTTTAACCTGAAAGTAATCCCCGAGAGTCCCCTTTCTGGCTTTCGGGGAGCCAGACACAGACCAGACATTCAGCTCTGCAGGAGCAGGCCTGGGCTAGGAAAGCCCAGAAGGCAGAGAGGGCTATGCTGGGGATTCCAGAAACGGGTCCTGTCGGAGGGGGACCTTGGAGCTAGGTCCTGAGGATGAGTTTGTCAAATGAAGAAGGGAATCCGAGGAGGAGGGAACGGCGGGAGGGAAAGCTGGGGGAGGAGCGAGAAACTCGGAGAGTTCTGGGAACACAGGTAGGAATCTTCCCAGAAATTTGAACTAGATTTTACTAGGACCAGTGCGTGGGTTCCCCGGAACTCATCCCTCTCCGCCCCTGAGATGCTCTTGCTTCGCCTAAAGCCACGGGGTGGCCAGATGGAAAATACGGGGCTGGAAGCCTCGCCTCGGTGTAATTCCTACCGCCCTGGGCGAAGCCTGGTTCTTCCTCCCACTCTTCATTTCCGGTGTCTGGGATACCCGAGGTTCTGGGATCCTAGAAATTCGGTCTCATGTTGCCGGGGGAACGCCATTTCGCTGCACCCCCGCGCCCAGCCGCTTCCCCGCCTTTGCCCTGACATTAGCCAATAGAAACGAAGATCTTCAGTGGGTCTCCTAAGGGGCCCAATGATGATCGAGAATCGTGGAGCACTTTACCAGTCACGCCGCGGAGTGGGTGGAGCCTCCTGTCAGGACTAGAAGCCACCCCGGCAGAGAGGGTAGGCGGGTCGCCGGTTGTGAACCCATGTGGCGGGTGTTGTGGACCCTAGTAGCTCGGGCCGCACGTGGGCCTCGCAGGTGGGGCGATACGGGAAATGGGTGTGACAGCGTGGGGTGCTGCTTGGGCTCCAAACCCTCTTCCTGGGATCTGGGTGTCAGTTGCCTGGGGCAGAACCACCTTTCACATTGTCCCAAGTCCCAATCCGTTCATCCCCCTGCCGCAGAGCCCACATCTGGGTCACCTGTTGGCCTCAAAGTACCCATTCGGGTCACACTCTGACGTCAGCGCCCTCACCCTCACAATATATTCACCCCCCTGCCGCAGACCCACATCTGGGTCAATTTTTGCTCTCAGAGACCTCAATCGGGTCACCCTCTGGCCTCAGACGCTCCAATCTGCCCACCCCCCAGCCTCAGAGCCTCCACCTGGGGCATCTTCCGAACATCGAGCTCTCTATCCACCTGCCACTCAGCCACAGAGCCTCCCAGAGGCACTGATTCTTCTCTCCAGTCCCAGATCGTGCACGCGCCAGGGCAGCGGCGCCCCGGCCCCCGGTTCCGGGGCCACTATCTTCGCGCTGAGCTCCGGCCAAGGCCGCTGCGGCATCGCGGTGATCCGGACCAGCGGTCCTTCCAGCGGCCACGCCCTCCGGAGTCTCACGGCGCCCCGGGACTTGCCCCCGGCTCGCAGCGCCTGCCTGCGCCTGCTCACCCACCCCCATTCCGGGGAGCCGTTGGACCACGCGCTGGTGCTCTGGTTCCCAGGTGAGGGGTTCCAGATCCCGAACCTGCTGTAGCTCTCATGACCCAGTTTCCCACCCCCCCACCCAAGGCGTTTGCCTAGCCTTACTCTCCTCGGCTCCCGTCTCACCACACTAGGTCCCCAAAGTTTCACAGGTGAGGACTGCGCGGAGTTCCACGTGCATGGAGGCCCGGCGGTGGTGAGTGGCGTCCTGCAGGCCCTGGGTGAGTCTGCAGCCTTGGGTTCGAAGTCTGGCTCTGCCAGTGGATCTGGGTGGGGGCCAGGGAGCTCAGGATCCACTACGTTCCCGCAGGCAGTGTGCCAGGGCTGCGGCCGGCCGAGGCTGGTGAGTTCACCAGGCGGGCATTCGCTCACGGGAAGCTGAGCCTGACCGAGGTGGAGGGGCTAGCGGATCTAATTCATGCAGAAACCGAGGCGCAGCGGCGGCAGGCGCTGAGGCAGCTGGACGGGGAACTGGGCCACCTCTGCCATGGCTGGGCCAAGACTCTCACTAAGGCAAGCCCCCTCTTCGCCCATTCCCTGCCTCAGAGACCCCACCTGCCCATTCTGTGTGTGAGAGCTTCCTGTGCATGAGCCTCCAGTCTGGTCCCTTGGGTCAGACTTGACCTGGGCACATTGTGTGTGTGGGGGGTTCCTGGGTTACCACATCACCACTCCGTTCCCCTCCCCCCCAGGCTCTGGCTCATGTGGAGGCCTATATCGACTTTGGTGAGGATGACAACCTGGAGGAGGGCGTCCTGGAGCAAGGTGGGTCCTCCTAGCGGTTGGGGACACCTGTCATCGTAGCCCTTGGAGGCCCCCTCACTCCCTCCCCTCTGCTTTCTTCCATCCGCAGCTGACAGCCAAGTGCGGGAGCTGGAGCTGGCACTGAGCGCACATCTTCGAGATGCCAGGCGCGGGCAGAGGCTTCGCTCAGGAGCGCACGTAGTGGTCGCAGGACCCCCCAACGCTGGCAAGAGCAGCCTGGTGAACCTACTCAGTGCGTGGGGGGGCGGGGCCTAACGCCGGGGGCGGGGTCGGAGCTGGGGAGCTGTTTGGGTGTGGGGGAGGAGCCGGGAGGTGGAGTCTGGGGGAGGGGCTCTACGGCCCCCACCCCGCCCTCTTCGCGATAACCCCCACCCCCCATTCCGTCCCAGGCCGGAAGCCTGTGTCCATAGTGTCCCCGGAGCCGGGGACCACCCGCGACGTGCTGGAGACCCCCGTGGACCTGGCGGGGTTCCCGGCGCTGCTGAGCGACACGGCGGGCTTGCGCGAGGGCGTGGGGCCGGTGGAGCAGGAGGGCGTGCGGCGCGCCCGCGAGAGGTAGGCTGGTAGGGTGGTGGGAGGGGGAGACAGAGCCCTTCCACTTCCATTTCTCCTTGCTGCATTTATTTTGTGTCCCTCCCGAATCAGGAAAGGCTGCTAAGGTCTCTTGGGTGGGGGCTCTGATGTGGGGAGAGCCGCCGTGTAAATTCAGCCTCTGTTCCTGCCCCGCCCCTCTTGCCCTGCCCCGCCCTCACATGCCATGCCCCGCC